TTTAGGTTTACTTGATGATTTCCTTAAAACTTTAGTTAACTGAACATCAGTGGTGGGTTACAGGCGGTATGCCCCGGTACGGGCGTACCAGAGCCTGCCCGGAGCACCGGGTACCGTTCTGGTATGGTGCTCTGGAGTGCCCACCCGCCTGCCCGAGCTTCTTACTTGTCCTTTAAAGCCTTCTGCGCATGCACATGGTGCATATAGCGCCTGCGCGATGCTCCAATGAGCAGCTGGGGCGTCGTGGAGGCTTGCAGAAGCATTGCTGGCAGCTACAATGCATGCGCATGTTGCATGTGCACGTGCGTGCGCGCTGCACATGTCCTTGTGGGCAACGCCGGGCAACTGGTACAGTTGGAACGGGATCCGGAACCCACCACTGCTGAACATGTACTGTATCTGCTAAGTTGCTGAGACCATATAATTGGAACTTTCTTTTTCCAGAACTGAGTTTACAACTGCATTGGTTTCTGGTCTGTTCCAAAATACTATAAACCAGTGGTTCCCAACGTGGGCCCCAGAGGGGGGCAATTTGAAACTTCTTTAAACCAAATTAATGCTCTTTTAGGCTTCCTCCGTGTGAGTAAAGTTCACTTTTTGACTAAAGTAAGAATTATATGTCACGGGGGGGGGGGGTATCAGGATTTTAAAGATTATTAGGTGGTGTATGGTCTGCAAGTTAGGATATTTTCCTCACAGGTAGTTGTTTTATATTCATTAAGATTTGTTCTAATCACTGGATGAAGGTTTTAACTTTCCTTTAGCCCTATTTTTATTTTTGCATTGGTATTTTATCATTTATCACTGTCACCGCCTTCCTATTTTGTTGCTATTATTTCAATTGAAAAGAGAAAGAAAAATAGTTTTTAATCTTTTAGTAGGAGCAATTATGTATTTAATTTGATAATTTCATTATGGATTGAATTATACTATAGATTAAAAATGTTTAGTTAGTAAACTTTCTTTTACATAGATTATGTTGTGTGACTAAATTAATAGTAGTTTTTAATAGAAATTTGGTCAAACAGTATACTAGTTCTAAGATTTTTAGAATAGAAAATATAGGTTAGATACCAGTTCGAATTCTACTGCAATTTTTCTGTCCCTTAAGAGTTATGTAGGGCATAATTTATTGATTATTGATTGACAATATGTAAGTTAATTTATTGAAAAGGAATTTTATCCAAGCAGATTTATCTTTTTATTGAAAAAATTATATTAAAAATAACAATTTGTTTAAAATTTTGTCTAATTCATTTTAATGGTTCATTGCACAATCAGCCAGATGATCAGATTGGATCATTTTTATTCTATCGAGCATTGTTGATTTTATTTATTATTTTAATATAATTATTAATAGAAGTAATTAGTAAAGCTATAATTTTATTACATTCATCTTAGTTTGGGTTGTCCCTCTATAATTGAGGGCTAGGGAATTGAGGACATTATATCAGCAAAGCTACTTTTAAATTTTCAATATTTTTAATGGATGGAATTATTGGTGAACTGGAATAGAGGGAATGGGATATAGCTTTTATATTACAATTAGTATGCTAACTGTTAGTTGCTATGTTCCATGTCCTATTTATTTATTGCATTTATACATTGCCTTTCTCCTGGCAGCTTGAAGTATGATAGATGCAGATATTTCCTCAGTTCATTCTCATAGAAATAAATAATTTAGGCTGTCATGAAAAATTGACTAGGCCAAAATTGCTCAGTGAGTTCCATAGTTCATATCTTTGTCAGTATACTACTGAAAGCAGAATAAATATATACTTCTGTCAAATATGATAGGACATGAACAAGTTTTCTCTGCATAAGACATACTTTTCAATATAATGTACATCACATATGACAACATTCTGATATTTTGTTATATCTATATCTGGAAAAAATAAATCTTTGGTGAATATATAGTTACAAGACACTGCTTAAATGTATATTATATTATCTTGGTATAGTTGTAAAAAATAAATGAAAGACAGAACAGTGAGTATAATAAAACAACTGTAACAGAAATTATTTTCTTATGTGTATACAATCAATTTATGACCTTTTTACTTCATTTGGTGATCTTTCTGTGCTTTCTTCTAGCAGCTTGTTGCCAACTACTTAATCATATTAATCCATCCACAACACCAATGTCTATATATTCTGCGCAGTTTTTAAAGTTGAAAGTATTAAACGCACTGCATCCTTTTAACTTGAGTAAGTGTTGGTGGCCTACGGTTTCACTCTTTCCTATCTTTTCTTTTCGCTGCCCTCTTCCGCATGTTCTGCATGGTATCTGTCCTGCTGATGCTGCCTTCACCTGGGTCCTGTGCATGTGTTTCTAATCCCAGGGAGAAGGAATCACTTTGCCTACTACAACTATCCCAATTATGAAGGTAATTCTATAATTTAATACTGCTGTTTCTCACTAATCACTAAAATTTTATTCACAAAAAAAAGCTTCTGTCTATTTTGATAACAAATCTTTTGTTTTCCTTCTTTTATTGATAAATAATAAAATAAAATTGTTTTCTTTCTCATACCAAAACATGGTCAGGAAATATGACTTTTGAAAGATTATGGTTTTCCTATTTGTCATTGATAATTTCAATGTATTGGGGACTTGGGTTATTAACTTTTTTTAAAAAAAACAATAAATAGAATGTCCACAACCAGTGATTTCAGTCTTTTGTATCATAAATTTCACCAACAATGAATTCTTTACAAATATTAAAAAAGCACACATTTTGGAGAGACTGTTTCTGTTTGTGTATATATGTCTTTGTGTATGTGTATACCAGTAACGTGCGGTGAGGTTTATGGCTGGTGAGGCACTGACGCAGTGGTGGGTTTCAAATTTTTAAGAACCTATTCTGTAGGTGTGGCCTGTTTTGTGGGAGTGGTTTGGCAGTCATGTGACCGGGTGGGAGTGGCCAACTTGATGTCACTCACCAGGAGATGTCATGGATTGCATAAAATGTGGTGAAGCTCACTTAACAATGTTCCTGCTTAGCAACCAAAATTTTGGGCTCAATTGTAGTCATAAGTCAAGGACTATCTCTGCCTTCTTCTGCATGGCAGCCTTCTCCTAGTAAACTATTTCTCCTTTCTGACAATTTTCCTCTCTTTTAGAGGCCCCAAAATAATCCATACAATGTAAGGTTTCCT